TCCTCAATGCTAATTTAGATAATGAGGTCTAAGAACCTCGCAAGGATCACTGTTTCCATCCACCATTCCTATTAAGCCTCAAAAACCAAAGACCGAATCTGGTTACTTGTCACTTTATATAAAACCAGCAAAACACTTTTCCAACAAGTCTTCCTTGCCCCAATTTCCCTCAGATTCACTCCTTGTATTTCAGTTAAAACACATGTAACACATTCCTGTTACCAAGACAGACTGGCAAACACAGCTTTGCCCAGGGCACAGCCTGAGAACCGAACACAGTCACCCAGAGCTACTGAATGACACAAATAGCCCAGCCATGAGATGACTCAAGGACATCGGACTTCCTGAGCCATAGTAAGGCCAGGAGCCCTGCTGAGACATGACTGACTGTCAGTGCCGACTTCTCCAAGCTTGCTGGGTACTTCAGCATGTCAGCTTTATTTTGTCCAGGGAAAAAGAGAAGGGAAAGGAAGCTGAAAAAAGAACACACAGTTACAAAGCAAAGACTTACGCCAGCCACACATTTAAATCCTGTTTCTAAATTGCACACCTTGTATTTTCAACTTCCCCTCCCACTGCACCTTGCATGTGACAAGGAGGTAACAAGCATGTTAAGAAGCACTAAAATACCACATTTCTGAGTTTCTCACACTGACAGGCTTGCACTCCAGTTCAACCACCCCAAGACCCAGTCTTGCAACTACTGAACTTGCTGGAAAATCTGAACAACTCGTGACTGCAAGATCAGCTCCTTCAGGCATCACCTGATACAAACATAACTGCTCATAATTACACAACAGGCTTTCAAAACTTCAGGTGTGTATTAGATAGCAGCTAAATATTGGGAACACCTCCCTTTACAAACAGCAAACCCACACAAGCATAGCTCTTCTCTGAAGCAGCTCATTTCCTCGGCATAACTCAAACTGCAGCTACTTGCTCCAGTAAAATGCAGTAACATGCACTCTTCTGCTTTCCCCAACACCACCACATCTTCCTCTGGAGCTAAAAAAGCTCTGCAGCAGAAATGGGGTGTTTATACGATTTCATTTAATATGAGCGGAACTATGAAGGAAAGTTAAATTTAAAAAAAATACAATAAATCATAGCCTGACTTCCTCATCGTAACTCTTCGCTAGAATGGGATTTAAAGGACCATCTTTAAAGCAAGGGCAGTCATTCCCACTGCTGACAGAGCTCACAGGGATGGGACACCCACTCCCTTGCGAGCTAAATACACCCAATATTGCATATATGACAAATACCCCCGCGATTAGAAAGGGGAAACTATTCATGGCCATTTCAGTACAAAAATTAAATAAGCAAAGAAAACTAGCAGAAAGCTGACGGGCCCCGAAGGAAGCGGCGGCGGCGGGGGGGGGGGATAGGTGCAGGCAGCCGCGGAGCCGTGCCTCTTCCAGCTCTGGCCGCTGGGCCCCGTCCGTGTACTCACTCACCTGTAAGGCACCGGCCACCGCCGCTGAGGGGAGCGGGACCCCGCCGAGAAACACAGACCCCAAACCGCCGCCGCCAGCAGCAGACGCAGCAGCAGCCGGCAGCGCCGAGCGGCGCCCATGGCGACGCGCCCTCCGGGGTCTGCGGGCCCCGGTGCTGCGGCCCGGCGGGGGAGGCGGCGGGGCTGAGGCGGCCGGGCGGAAGGGAAGGAGTGAGGCCGCCCCCGAGCCCGCCCACAGTCCCTGGAGAGGCGGTGATGGCCAGGGAGTCCGCGGGCCGGACGGCGTGAGGCAGGAAGGGCGAGTGCGCGCTGTACGTGGGGTCCCGACCAACCGCAGGGAGTTTTTAACCTCTTTCCGAAGGAAACCTGCCGTGTGGTGAATCGGCCTTTAAAAACGTCACTTGATGAGCCACGATTTCGGTCTTCTGGAGACAGTTATGCATTCTTTTATGCGAAGCACTTGTTAGCAGCTCGGGGTGTTGTTTCACGCTTTGGGGCCACTTTAAAACACACATGAAACTCCCATTCCTACAAGCGGAACGCCCCGAGAGGGATGACCTGCATCTGGACCAGGACGATGAGTTGAGGCCTCACCAAGTGGCAGAAGGTCGTTTGCTGTGACAAACAGAGGTGTCCTGAGCCTCTTCTGGCTGCCCAGAAGTCTCGTCTGAAGCTTTTCAGGGCTTCAAGCTAAGTTTATACATCAGTCACCCACTCTAGAACACTTAACTCAGGTTGTAACAGCTTACATTATGGGCATTAGATAGAGGTTTATTCTCTCATTTTTACAACATAGCAAGAACTATATCAGAGGAACTCTGGCTAAGGGGAACGGCAACTACAGCTTTGCAAGGTGCATCCCTGCAGCAAAGAGATCTTTCCAGCTCTGTAAAGTTCAAAACCGGCTATGCTAGCATCAGAGCTCAGGAGGATGTTTGGTAGTTAGCATCCATGGTGAAAGAGCTGGTGTATGCTGTTCACTGGATAAATAATAACTGTGCTGTGAACTTCTGTCTACCAGGAGGCAGAGAAATATACCATTTCATTCCTTGCATATAAGCCCCTAAAGAACAATCAGTTCTCTAGTCAGCATTATGCTATCTCCAAACAAAACTGGAGGTGGAAAATCCTGCATCCTACGTAAATATGCATGATAGGCTGCTGAATACCAGTCTCTGTAATGCTGGAGGTACTAGAGGTGTTCAAAAAACCGTAAGATGGCACAGCTATTGAAATCTTTCATTTCAGCCACTTTTCTTTCTCTCAGTTCATTGCTGCCTGATTCTATACTGCTTATGTTTAAAATCCATGTCATTCAGCACTATACATTAATTTAATGCATGTATACATGATCTATATTGTCTAGACTGTGCTTTTGCCAAGAAAGATTGGACCAGATGATCCTTGAGGTCCCTTCCAACCTGGTACTCAATGATTCCATGATTCTACCATAATTCTATGGGATTCTGGTACCTATATTTCAGTGTTTCATTTTAATCTCATGCATGTTATTTGTCTCTGCTTTAAAGTAAAGAACAAAACCAGAGCTTTATAAAATAAAGTGTGCTATTATTCATGTTTTTTCTATCTTCAGTGTAGTACAAGATGCCAGCTTTTTCATGTGTTTGAAAAGGTTATGTGTTTGTGTGGAATACAGCTGTCATTCCTTTTTTTACAGATTATGATGTGTAACCTTGGAAGTACTTTATGAAATAAGGGAAGGATAATTTATCCTTTCCACAAAGCCAGGATGGAGGGAAGTGAAATGACATAATAAAGGTGCCATAATCACTCATTAGCCAAACTAGAAATACAGTATGAACTGGTTCTTAGCCCTGGCTCAGCATGTGTTTGCAGTCTGGACTATTAAAGTCTCTATTCAGGCACTGCTGTGGTTGCTGAAAGTGTTGGGTCAAGTGGCTAGGATGGCCAAGCTATTGATGTTTTTCATTTCAGTAGCATTTCTGTATCTCACTTCATTGCACCCCTTAGGTTGTATGAGAAGAAAAAAAATGGTGTACTGTGCAGCAAAAGTTTCCTAAGTTACATTATGAAACATATTTTAACATAGAAAATAAACTAATAAATATACTTGAGCTAAAAAGCTACTGTTAGCTATTTCTGAATCAATAGACATGTGTCTATTAGCCAGACACATGTCAAAGTGTCCTTTATAAACCCACAGAACTGATCTGCATCTTTGTCCATTGGCAGGCTTAGAGGAAAGATTGAGACTGGCTATAAAGATTATACTGGAACAGATTGCTCAAAGAAGTTTTGGATGCCACATCCCTGGCAGTGTTCACAGTCAGGCTGGTCGGGGCTTTGAGCAATCTGGTCTACTGGGAGGTGTCCCTGTCAATGGGAAGGGGATTGGAACTAGATGAGCTTTAAGGTCTATTCCAACCCAAGCCATTCTATGATTCTGTGAAAAATCAGCTTCTGGAGTTGACAAGATTCCTACATTTTTCTCATTTCCTGGAGTATTTTCTTTTGTTTAGTGAAAACCAAACATTTTCCTGATACAATGAAGAAGACTCTTCAGTATGATTTCCAATTATAAAAGTACCTTCTCCGTCTCTACTCTTGAGAGCAACAGGATGGAAGGAACAGAGAGAAAGGGGAAAACAAACCCCTGCTGCAGCCAAAGGTTGTGGGTTTGAATAGCTAGTTTGGTTTTGAACATCTACAGGAGTCACTACGCTGTAAAAAAAAAAAGACTGAAGCAAACACTATCCAGCAGACAGCAGTCTGCCCTCAAGCAGGGACCTTCGCTATCTCAGCACTTTGCTGTTCAAGCATCTCTATGCATCATCCTGCACAGACTTCCAACATCTCAATACATAGCTGAATGCATTTTGCTAGGGACTTTGCTTTCTTTCATATGCCATTTCCAGTGTAAGCCCTGTTGTTTCCCCTGCAGAACCCCCATACTACAAATTTGTGAAGCTGGGAGCAGATCAAAGAACGTAGGTTCATTTTCTAAAGAAACTCTGGTTTTCCTGGCAAAATGGAGCCACTCCCTAGAACAGAGTCTGAGGTTAGGATAGACAAAAGGTGTCTGATGTGTGAGGGTACCACGGATCCTCAACAGCATCAGAACCCAGAAGCCTTCTGATTAAACTCCACTTACTCTTGCTTTCAAAGCTGTACATTCATTACATCATTACAGTCCTGTGTGTAAACCAAAAAACCACATTGGTGAGCCTTTGTGAGGTCCTGCTGGAAGCAACCCAACTTCCAGAAGAGCTGCAGCAATACAGGTAAGTAACAGCACCACACAGCACCAGCTCAGTGCTACTGCTCCGCTACGGTAAGCAGGCCAGAAAGTGAGACCGAAAACACGTCTGAGCCTGTTTAATTTAAAACAAAAGGCACATCTTTATTTCACATCACTCCCCAGGTTTCCCCTTGCCATTTAAAACCCATCCTCACCTACATGCAGGCAGAAGAGGAAGCACGTACCGCACAGCTGCCTGCAGGGGGTTACATGCGGTGTGCCAGACCTCCGGGGCACGCTGAGCACCCGTCGGTGCCGCCCGTAAGACGTAGGCCAACCGGAGCCCAGCGGCGCAGGCGCAGCAGCAGGACGTGGAAAAGGGAGGGTGCTGCGAGGCCCGGGTTCACCAGCTTGGACAGGCTCTGCGCGGTGCCCGGCCGCTATGGGCAAGCGGGTAGCTCTGGTTCTCGCCGGCTGTGGCGTCTTCGATGGCACCGAAATTCACGAGGCCTCGGCGGCACTGGTGCATCTCAGCCGCGGCGGCGCAGAGGTAGGGGGCGGCGGGTCCCGCTCCCCGGCACCCCGCGGGGTTGTGTGGAGCTGGGCGTGGCAGGCTCTCTGGGGCGGGGTACGGCTCCGCCGTCTCTTTGTATCCCTCAGCAGACGAGAGACCCCCGCCTTGGCCCCCCACCCTCTGGCCTGTGCCGGGGAGCGGGCCGTGCCATCCCGTGGCTCCTGGTGTTTGTGGGATCGAGCCTCCCCTGCTTCACGGTTTTGTTTTCCCCGCCACAGCACACGACAATGCCTTTTCAACCATAATCTCTCTTACTGTCTTGCCCTCTCCCTTTTCTTTAGTGAGCCCCTCCCCGAAGCCGTAAATGTCCCCCTGACAGGAGCAGCGGCGCCAGGCAGGCCCCGGTTGTGACGGGTGGCAGGAGGCCCTGCCCTGCTCCTTTGTCTGTAGGGTCCTGGAGATTGGGTCCAGTTAAAATTCTTCGTCTGTTTTCTGATTGTTTTTGCAGAGATCGGGGGCTCACCTTTGCTTGCATTCACCTGCATGCCTTCTGTTACCTGTTTCTGGGCTTTTTCAGTAACTGGGCTAGTTCAGTAACAATTACTCTTTTAAGCAATTGGAGGAGCATGGGCCAAGATCATAGAATCATAGAATGGTTTGTGTTGGAAGGGACCTTAAACATCTCGTCGTTCCAGTCCCCCTGCCACGGGCAGGGACACCTTCCACTAAACCAGGCTGCTCAAAGTGATGTGGTGGTGTGTTGTCCTGTCTGTGGCTTCAGACAGTGGAAGGTGGTCACTTTCTGTCTGCTTATAGCTGCATTCAGGTGTTTGATGGTAACAACAGCACCCTCATATTTAGCACAAAATTATCCTCTCTAAAATTAACTGGAGTCTGCAAAGCAAGACTTCTGATTTGAAAAGCAGATATGTGAAAATAGGCCCTGCAGTATACCTCTCACAAAGCTTTGCACTTCCATGCAGCTTTCCCCTCTTGTGCCTAACCAAAATATGTTCTTCCATGTTTTGTTTTCCCTTCCTGCTACCAGTGTTTTGAGAAAGCAGCTAACTCTTAATGTCTGCACTAGGAATGCTTGTGAAGTTTGCATCCTTATATTTTAAACTTTTTCTGTAAAACTTTTAGCAGTATGATCCCCTAGCTGTTAAGAGCAGCCTTTCTTCAGACTCAGCTGTGTTCCCGGTCAGCCTGCTGGTATAAATTGTGTTCTGTTTGTCCTTGGGATTATCTGCAGAAGGAAAGCAGGCTGTGGCAAAATCAGTAAGCTTAATGTTGGTGTCAGAATGCAGTCCTGTCAAAAAACTGCAGGAATAGGATGGGGAAGATGAACAGGTTTACCTGTCCTAATATGCCACCTATCGCTTTAGTTATTTAATGCCATAGATCCATCTTGTGGAATCCACTTCTCTTGTTTATTTTGACCAATATGTAGGAGGTCTGTTTACATTCACAAAATTGCTTTATCTCTCTATTCTAGGTGAAGATATTTGCCCCAAATATTGAGCAAAGGGATGTAGTCAATCACCTAAAAGGAAGTCCAACAGAAGAGAAGAGAAATGTGTTAGTAGAAAGTGCCAGGTTGGCAAGAGGAAACATTCAAGATTTGGCTGAACTGAAAGCTAGTGAATTTGATGCAGTCATTTTCCCGGGTAGGTGCTTTTAAAAGAAAGTTATTTGTGATTTTTCAGTTGCAAATTGAAATTCCTCAGTTACTTTTCTATTTTTAGATCCATTTAGAGAATAAATTGTTGATTTGAGAGGTATGGAGGGGGGGGTGGTTTTTTTTTTTTAACTTATTTTCTGTCAAGGATGAGAAAATGTTTCAGCAATCTTTTGCGGGCTGATTAAGTCATATGAGTTTTTTATTCTTTTATAGTTAAGTAATTTAAAATGCCAGACTGTTCTTTTGGTGTTAAGTTATACATCACACTGTGCCTTCTTTCTAAAGATAGTGAAAACTTGAATACCTACTTGTGGATAAAAACAAAAGTAGGGCCAGAACTTGACAGCACATGGCAATGCCTTGATTTTAGGACCTCTGAAATTGTTGGCAAAATAGCAGGTTTCCAAATAGATTATGTTTCCTGTCAGATGTGAGTACATTTTGTTTTAATTATGTATCTGATCTGCTGCTGATCAAGTTACACTAAACATATTTATGGATAATTTTTTATTTATAGACCACAGAATTGCCTTTCAGACGGAGTTAATTGTAATCATTTTAGAAATGCAGAAACCAAAGTTTCACGAGGAAATTACGATTTGCTGAAGATCACTTTCGAGAATATTCATAGTACTGTTAAATACTGCCTTCATGATTGTGCCTAAGCTTTAATTTTGGAGTTGTGACACTGTCTTCTGTTGTAAAGCCAGCAGAGGGAGCGTGTGTATAAGGGAAGAGAAACATACTTCCAGCGCTAAAGTGTACGGGTGACATCATTGCTGATCAGGGAGTAGAGGCTAGCAAGTATTTTCCACTTTAATTCCATGCTGTTATAACCCAGGCTCAAAAGGGTTGCTGTAATAACTGTCACAGGGAAATAAACTCTATGAGAAGTTTGAAAATTAAAATCTTACTTTAGAGATTCCTGATAGCACTTGAAAGTGAGCAAAGGGTGAAAAAAAAAATAGTAAAAATGCAAAGCTACTTGGTGTTGTCTGTTGAAATACTTGTGGAAATTTTTTTGTTTACTGTAGAAAAGCTGATGTTGTGCGCATCCTGTAAGGACTCAAATATAGTGGATGGTTACTCTTATTAATAACCTTCTCTGATTATTCTGATCTGGCAAGTGAAGATGCTGTAAAATACAGTCTGCTTGTACAATTAAATGAAGATTAAATGCAAGTTTATTGTTATAGATATGTAGTTATTATTGCTATAACTAATTTCTAGAAAGACAAATCCTGCATTATTTTTAATAGGAAATTATCATTCACAAGTGGTGTGTCTCAGAATATCATATGTTATAATTTCCTTTTTATGTAATATTCATTTGGTTTTATTATGTTAACCCATTCTTTTAAGTCCAAAAATAATACTAGAGGAGTAAAAAAGCTTAAGTATTCAACTAAAACTTGAGAGTGAATTACTGTTGAGCATCAAATCACTGTTTGCATTATTCTTGTGACTTATATTTTTCTACTTCTGACTGTCATTGGTCTTTTTTTCTGATCCCTCTCTTGCTTATTGAGGGATGTATATCAGATGGTGCAGCTTTTCCAGTGACTAGCATTTAAGGTGAGCCTTCCTGTTTGTTTGCTGCTCAAGGTTAAGCTTTCTGGCCTATGTAACATATGTGATATGAAAAAGCGCAGTTAAACGTTTAACATTGTAAACACGTCATGTTTCAGGTGCTGAAAGCTTACAGTGTAGTAACTTAGCAGTCCTATGTATGCCAAGATTATGTTGTAATATGTTGTCTAGTATTGAATTGAATGACATTTAGTGTTATCATATATTTGAGCTTTTTGTTTGTTTTCCTTTTTTTTTTTTTTTAGGTGGCTTTGGTGTAGCAAAGAACCTGTGCTCCTGGGCTGTAGATGGCAAGAACTGTACTGTCAATGAGCACGTGAACTCCACACTCCAGGCTTTCCACAGTGCTAAAAAGCCCATTGGTTTGTGCTGCATATCACCGGTTCTGGCAGCTAAAGTCTTTCCTGGTTGTGAGGTTACAGTTGGCCAAGATAAAGATGTAGATGGAAGGTAAGAAGGAAATGGATAATTTACATGGGAATTCAGATTAGGAAATGGCCAGTCTTCTGAGGTCTCTAGTGCCAGTAAGCCCTGGGTAACTTCTGAGTGACTTTTTTCACTTATTTATAATTTTCACTTGCCTAATAGTTCTTGTATAATGAGCAGAGCTCTCAGGGGAGACAGACTGAATCTGTGAGGTCAGGTGACTTGTGCACTACAGTGTTGGAACGATTTATCCCTAAATTCAGAAATACATTGGTCTGTGATATCACAGAATCATTTAGGTTGGAAAAGACCTTTAAGGTCATTGAGTCCAACCATTAACTCAGACCTGGCAAGTCCATCACTAAACCATGTCCCTAAGCACCACATCTACATGTCTTTTACATACCTCCAATGTTCTGATACCAACATCTACAGGCACACTACGATTAGTAGTTTGGCGACTCTAGGTAGCCTTATCTCTTGCGTAAGCTGTCACTCTGTGAGCCACTGAAGGTAGTTTAAGTTCCTGCACTGGCTTTATTATGCAGTGTGGGCACTAATGAGTCAGTGGATGTAGCATCTGTCAGTCCTAAAAGTGACAGAACAAAGCAATTTTTATGGAATCATAGCTGTGCGAACATGCAGATGACCAAGGATATCAAGTAATTTTTTCTGCATTATATTCATGGTAACTGAGCGATGGATTTTAGCTCATACTGAGGGAGGTACAGAATGTGCTTACCCAATGCCTTTGAAGGCCATGATTCATACTGCAAATGTGGGAATGAAGAACAGGCATGTGGCCAGCTGGCATTCAGAAACTTGGTACCCTGTGGTAATTGGAGCGGCTGTTTAAATTGCGTCTGTGGGCTTTTGTCTGTTCAGGGATTTTTAGTTTTTCAGTCAGTAGTGGTTTGGGGCCAGTTTAGGGGAAGTAGTTGAGAACAGGACCTGGCAGAAGTATGTGCTGCTTCAGGAACTGTCAACTCCAATAAAACTTCTGAATGGAATTTCATCTCAGCAGTGATACCGAGGGTTTGTCTCTGCTCCTTCCTTATTCTTAGGGAAAAAAAAAGACAACAAAATTATGCAGAATCCCAGCAAAAGACTTTACATGAAGGTGTTGGAAAAGGTTTAAAGTGTCTGCAAGTTCAGCTGGCATCTCTCAAACTTTTGAGGATCAGTTATGATCACTTGGTATCATCTTGTAAACTACTGAAAGATTGTTAAAACCAGAATTACGCCTTCTGCCAATCTGTCGCTCTGCATTTTTTACCTTGTTTTCAAAGCTATCAGATAATCTGTTTTGCCATAGGGGCTGGAAGGACCTGGCAGTAGCAGTCGTGATTCCCTTGTCATCATCAAGAGTCACTTTAATATTATTGTAGTTCTCTCATTCAAGTTATGTTGGTGGAACTTTATGCCTGTGTTTTCTCTTTAAGTTAATGACAGCCTTTTTATTTACAGATTTCCTGATGCTGAAACAGCATCTGCTATAGTTGAGCTTGGATGTAAGCACATTTGCAAAAATGTAAATGAATCCCATGTGGACAAAGCCAATAAAATAGTTACTACCTGTGCCTTCATGTGCAAGGCTCCTCTGCATGAAATCTTTGATGGAATTGGAACAATGGTACAAGAAGTCCTGAAACTTGCATGACCGGAATCATACAGACTTCTACAGGGAAATCAGTGTAACTGAGAATAAGCATTTAGCTTCCTTTGAACGTAGTAATAAAATAATGCAACTACTAAACTTCACAGTTCTTGGGGTTTTGTTTCGTTTAGTTTTAAAATCTGTACATCACAGGGTTATTGCTAATTTTATCCTATTTATTTCTTTTTTAAAATAGAAAATGTGTTGAAGGTTGTGTATGTGGGTGTCAGCATTTTTTTTTTTTCTCATGAATCAGTGTATTCAGTCATGATGAGACAGTCCTTCTCGGAGAGGGACTTTTTGCAAGGACATTTAGTGACAGGGCAAGAGGGAAATGGCTTTAAACTGAAAGAGAGTAGATTTAGATTAGATATTACGAAGTTCTTCACTGTGAGAGTGGTGAGACACTGGAAGAGGTTGCCCAGAGAAGTTGTGGCTGCTCCATCCTTTTCAGTGTTCAAGGCCAGGTTGGACGGGGCTTTGAGCAACCTGGTCTAGGGGCCCCTGCCTGTGGCAGGGGGTTTGGAACTAGATGATCTTAAGGTCCTTTCCAACCCAAACCATCCTGTGATTCTGTGATAATGTGGGACCCCTCTGTGCCCAGCGGTGTGATTATCAGTAATTCATATTTGGTGTTACCCAGCTATAATTACTGTTGAAATAGCTCTAAATGAGTCTCCGTGCCTTCAGTGTAGGTGAGTAATTAAATTCTAATAGGAAGGAAAAAAGCATGCAAGTCTTTAAGCACGTATAATTTTAGCATGGACTTAACTTTAGAAACCAAGAGTCAGAGGTACACATCAAGTACAAATTAATACATTGTTTGAGAAAAACACGCAAGTTTTGCTCTAATATATGAAATTACTTGAGGTTCAGTTGGTAAAATGAAATAGCTTTATATTATGATTTTTTTTTTATACATAGTTTATTGCCCTAAGGAAGGTACACTTCACATATGCTAGAACACGTGCTTTGATCTCACAAATGTGAGCAAAGGTGGCCAGCCTCTCTAATAAGCACAATATGGCAAGGTGTTGTACTCCTGAAGGAACTAGAAATTCCCAGAATTTGTTTAAGGTAAGCTGAGAGTCACTGTAGACACTTAATTGTCTCAGCATAAGAAGTGGTATGATGCTTGCAGATCTCTTTCACTACTCACAGCAAATGTATTGCAGTCCATGCTTTGCAGTGCCTGAAGGAATCTAAACATGTCATCATCACTAGTGCTAATCATGATCAAGGGCCTGGAGTGGGAATACAGCAGGAACAAACCTGTACCACAGAGCAGCCAAAAGATGGGACTAGGAAATAATGCCTTTGTGATGGGGAGCATTGAGTTGTGCCTCTTGCTCAGCAGCTGGCATGGTCAGGGAGGGCGCTAACCTTTACCTGTGATTCCTGACATGTTGCAGAGCGTTGAGTGCTACTACTTTCTATGTGTGCCGTGTTTATTCTAGCACAAACATCAAAGTTCAGATGTAACTGGTAGCTTTTTCAAGGAGGATTTAGAGCGAAATCTACAGAAATAAATATATAAAGGCATTTATTCTCTGTCCTTCTCAGGGATGTTTCCCATGGACACAGCATTTCTATACTCCAGAATTTCTTTTATGGATTTACTTAGCAGAAGCAGAATATACAGACACTTTTGGCAGCAGAGCTGGCATGTTTTTGTGTCATGCACAAGCAGTGCTCTGCCTCTAGAGGTATAAAGATAATGGAAGTGCCACTGATCATGCCAGCAGAGGATCTTCTATTCAGCCGGAGCTGTGTACATAATCACTAAATTACTTACTTAGTCAAAACCCAAGGTATTTGACCAAGTGTGGCTCTTGGGTTACAGGAGTCCTGTTCAAAACTGCTTGAGTCACTAAATAAGAGTTTGTCCTGAGTTTTGTGTTTGCCTTGTGAACAGTCTTGCTGTTGGCTCAAGCAGCCAAAGCAAGCGCAGCTTCTCCAGAAGAGCTCTAGCTGACTGTCCTGATAAAAATGTACTTAACACAGAACAGTCCTCTACTTTTTCCAGATTGTACACGGTCTCTATGATGCCTTCTGTGGCTTCTGCAGGCAGGATGCTGGAGACATTGGATTGAAATTTTTTCTCCAAGTCCTCCTTTTTCAGGGGTTTCCTCCAGTGCCCATAGAACGTGTCGCAGCGGTCGCTGATCGTGTTGCCATCCTGAAGCATGACGCTCACTTCGCAGTAAAGACTCTCAAAGCTAGGTGTGTTATCAGGAGAGTGCTCCAGTTGTGTTTTGCAGAGGAGCTCCCGCAAGGCCGGCCGGTGAATGTTCTCACTGGTGAAGGACTGGACCGACATGCTGCCGTCCAGCAAAGCAGAGCACGCAACAAACTGGAAGGAGTGTCGAGCTTCATGCTCTGAGGTAGGGCTGGCTCTGTTCACGTATTTGACGTCTGGGACTCTGAGAATGACTTTCTCAATTTTATGAAGGGGGAGCAAGTTGCTGCTCTCCACAAGCTTCCTCCTAACAGAAGATGCTGCATCAGCCACCCAGTGTGTTCCAAGGTGAGCAGGAAAGCGTTTAATGGCGACATCTTGCTGGTCTAACAGCCACGGATAGGACTGCAAGGTTGGCAGAGTCTGTGGGTTGTAATCTGTATAAAAGGCACCTATTCCGGACTCCATATCCAAGATCTGCTTGTTTCCTTGAAGGCCCTGTGATGCTAAGCAAGCTGCTTCCAGTCCATGCTTGGCAGCATTGCCAACATGGAGGGGCTTCGTTTGGGTTGCTGCATTAGCCAGTGGGGCACCTGCATAGGAGGCAGCGATAGCCAAGGTGTTTTTACATTGCAGTTGATCAAGAGCTAGCAGTTTAGCACAAGCTGCTGCACTCCCCATTGTACCAACCACAGTAGGTGGGTGAAACCTGAGAAAACAAAAATATCTTCATTACCATATTTCAAAAAGTCATCTGAACTCACTATATACAAAAGCTCCAATTTCCTAGCACTGCTGTGGAAGACAGATTGAGGCATAAAGAAACATACACTCAAAATTCATGTGTGGCTCTAGTGGAAAAAGTTGTTGGTTTTCCCCAGGAATAAGTTAAACTGGAATAGTACTACTTCCAATAGGTCTTCCCCAGAAAGCAATTGAAATTTTAGAACTGCTCATAATTTGAGGCACACCAAGCAGAATAATGGCAAAAGCATCACAGTTTATAGTCTTCTGTACATTGGGGGAGGCAAGTTTTGTCATTCTGAAGTAGTTTTGTAAAACTGATAGAAGGAACACACAAAAAAATAGCAAGAAGACATCTAGTCCATCCCATGTTTCAAGGCTTTCCCCTAAGCACACCCCATCTTCCTGGGCTCTGCTCTGGGCCCAGCTCCAGTGGCTCCCCTCTGCTGAGAGCGAGGCACTGTTTGCAGTAGAGGCATGATCGTATGTATTCGTGAGAGCTTGAAATCTCTGCTGTTAATCATTGCCTTTTTGCTGCTGTTTTTAATAGATAGGGAGATCATTACATCCTTCTTGTAAACTGCTCAATGCTCTCATAAAGACAGCTATTAGCTAAGCCATAAGGAGTCATGTAAGTGTATTTATGTTTAAGATGAACCTTTCTTAACTTTCCAGACAAGCAACATAGAAAATATGAATGTCTATGCTATCTGTATTTTAACTGGCATTTAATTAAGTGTATTAACACTGAGAAAACAAACCCATTCCACTCAACTTTCCACTTGAAGCATTTCTTTGTACCTTTTGGGGATATTCCTGGCTTCATTGGAGAAGCGCAGCAGCCGGCCTTGCACTTCGATTCCCACATTGAAAGCTAAGAGCAGATCAAGACCTGAGATTTTTTTCTTCTGAGGAAAGGCCTCTGAGAGTGCAATCACAGCAGGAAGCACAGCCCCAGACGGGTGCGTGGCAGGATGCCACGTGTCGTCAAAATCCATTGAGTGCACCTAATGGAAAGAAAAGCCTCGACGTGTCATCAGAAATAAACTCTGAGTTGGCAAGACTGGCTCAGTCAAATGAAACTACTGAAATCAGTATAAAAAAGGGCTGAAGAACTAAATTTTCCTTAGAAAACAAATCTTCAGAAGTCCTTCTTTCAAAGACCTTTACTCCCAACATGGCTCCATGAGAAGTGGCAATGCAATACAAATCTTGCCTCAAAGGAGTGGAATTCTAATTCAAGTTGTAGCAGTCTAAAACCAATATGACAATGATTCATCTTTCCTACAATAGGGTTTTGCTGCTTTAATTAGACTGGTATAATTAAAGCAGTAGTTCTAGGTTCATCATATGAATGGTGAATTTTCACTTCCCCCAAAACAGTATATAAACATGTTGAAACTACTTCCCCAGTGCTGCAACTGATGCTGCCATTAGGGCTCACACCATTAAAGCTGTAGCAGTCCAGTCCATACTGCTAACTCTTAAGTTATACCATCAGAACAGCTTCTTCAGTGCAACCCTCCACAGGCAACAGGTACAAGCCTGCAAATGTACATGAGGCTTTAGCCTGAATTCTCAGCACATTGACCTATCACATGAAGAACCAGACTCCCTGGGGTTGCTAGGACTGGGAGAATGTTGGTCTTAAAAATGTGATAAGCCGTTTAGTCCTTGAGAGTGTCCAGAGAGGTGCCTCCTCTCTCCCATGCCCACAGCCCAGCTGCTTGGGAAGACTGGGTATTCCCAGCATGGTAGGAGACTACTGCCAGCAATGCAGTCAGTGTTTGCAACGTACTGCTTGACGGACCCCCACACCTCCCACCAAGATTTTGAGAATCCCCAAGGACTTGAGAACATCAGGGGCAGCACTTCTAATAACAATATCTCAAAAGCTGAACTTTCATGCCTGTTCACCCATGTCTTACTTCAGAGCAACTGGGAAGGTGGTCAGTCTCCCCAGCGCTCAAGTCTTGCCCCATAACACAGGGAACATGCACTTCTGAGGACCGTGTTTCTGAACAGGCATAAGAAAACATAGTTTCTACCTTGAAAAACTTAGATGCCAGCTGGAAAGATGCCCTGCAGTGCTGGAAAAGTTGTGCCCAATACCCAGTAAGCTGTGTTCTTGGCATCTTCAATAAGCACTCAGAATTAACCCGTGACTGAGATGTAA